TGTGATGCATAGATATTTAATTATGCTTAAACTTCTATGATACTCGTAATATGCGATAAATCGACTTTTCAACGCCTTTTTTCTGATCCAACATCCGTTGCCGTACGGTAATCCTCTTCCTTAGGCCGACGTCATAGTTTGCGAATCGAGCGATTCGCTAGCGATTCGTTCGCAAACTATGACATCGGCCTTAAAGTCGGCGTACACGATGGCTGGAGGGCGGAGCTACTTCGGCGTTGTTGACTGTGATTGGTGGTAGGGCGACAAGCCGTGATCCCAGGGTCCAGTGTGCTCAGAAGATTGATTCACCAATGGCGTCCAATGACGTCATCAAAACTGTTCCGCCCTCCAACCATCGTGTTCATTACTTTTATGCTTGTCAAGGACTTCAAACTAAATTTTCTACATATTTATTACATACATGACTAGACAACAAGGACCTGGTATCAAGGCGAGATCACTACAAATTAAAGCCTATGACCATCATTCAAACAGTGTCAGGAAAGACGAACATCAAATGAATTCATCACAAGACAAATCCATGTAGATCTTATTCGTCAGAGTGTATAATGATTTCGTGACCAGAGAGCCGAACCGCTGCGCCAGTTGTTTTTCTGGGGTTTTGGAGAAGATTTTCTGAAACACAGAAAGTGTACACAATTCGTAATATCAAAGAAAAATTCGTCTCTAAAAATCCCTAAGCCGGATTGGAGATAAATTCCAGTTGCCATTCACTAAAACACTTTCACTTATCGCCTAAAGACATGTACACTGGTGTGCAAAACTTAAGGACTTAAGTAATATCCATCCAGAAGCTTTCACATGATATCTCACTGCTAGCTTAACCTAGGTGGATCCAAATTTGGCACATACATAGAAGTAAATGTTGCGGCACAGTGCAGAGAGTTACTAGCAGAAGAGCTGAACGGGACGATTAGGAAGGAAGCGGATGATGGGTGAGGCTAGTCCAACTCATGGTAGACATTCAAAAGAGAGGAGCTGGTTCTTGATGGGGTGTATGAACACTACGGACTGCAAAGCATGCTCTGCTACGTGCTCCCATACTGGCTACAAGGTTGCTTAAGAGTTCTTGTGGAGAAGGGATGCATTCCTTGAAGACCGCGATCAAGAATACAACTATATTCCACAGTAACTTCTCCCTGCTCAGTACACTCCCTCTTGTCCTGTCCCACCAACCCCTCGTTCTGGTGGCCACTCCCATTTTGGCTCCAGATTGAAGCCGGATGCAAGACATATGAGGCCCACTTCGGTGCCCATGACTGTAAGGGCTTCTAGCATTATGCCCGTACAGTTTCATCCAATTCCATCTAATTGTTAATAAGTTATGGACAATTTATCCATCTCTTCCTTAAGTTTTGCACACCAATGTTCAATAGATACAGAAGTATCGAAGCTCCCTATAAATTGCAGTTGAGTTAGGACAAGCCCATAGATTTCTTTTGAGAACCAATTGTTGTGGAGACAAATCTGATGCCCATCAAGAATCTTTAGCGTCCCGATTTCCCTACGAAATAGATCAGTTTGTATGTATTAAAAGAAGTCCAAGTGTAACGCTGTTGAAACTTGGGCTTCACAGGGCTTCACTCGCTTCTGTCCTCGCCCTGCTATTCACGAAGCTGATAATTATTAGGTCGAGCAGTAATTATCCGCCGTTTTTTTCAAACTCATGGTTCTTTGATTTTCTTGCTGATTATTTTCAAACTTTATGATGTAGTCTGAAAGCGCTCAATCTCTTGTACATTTTGTACAACACTTGTGTATTTGCTTCACTCTGGAGCTTACACACTAGCAAAAAAGATTGCCCCTGCTACATGAGTGCAAGTTGAGCTCGAAACCGAATGCTTCTGCATCTGCTCGTAGAATCAATGAAGCCTGGGATGAAGGCACGGTTGCAGAGAGGACTGTTCGAGAGCGTTTGTTGATTACTCATTATTGTTGTTTTTGTTTGGTTTGGTAATAAATGATAATAATGAGTGGAATGAAAATGGGTGCTAATTATTGCTCAACCTAGTTTCCAATTAGGATTATAAAGGGTAACCGAGTAGTTCCCAAAAGACTCATTTTCTAATTGACACTGAATTGCCAGCAGGATGCAACATCAACCATTTCTGAACTGAAAAGCGTTTGTTTAAATCCAAGTTCTTACCGTAGCCAGTTTCACGGATTGAGGAGGGAGATTGTCGAGTATAGCACAGAGTTCTTCTGTTGTCGTCGTCTCAGAACTATAGCTCTCCGTTCGGAGGCAATTACTCTGAAACATATGACGTTTGTGATATCATGACTTATTTGTGAAAAAACACCAAGGGTCTCCTAACCAAGGACCAAATAGCGCTTGTATTGTGCTCACTGAGGGTTAGTGACAGAAAGGTGGCTACAAAGTCGATCGTTTTCAATACGACTCATCAAAAAACGGACTACCAATTTGCAGTCGGCAGCTTCAGAATGCGCCGCAATCCTATTCAACTTTCCTTACTTTTACTTCCATGCTCAAACATTGTTTTCTATGCGTGGTCCCACACAGAAGAGCTGGTGAAATGGTGAAGAAGTGGGTGTGATGGCGAGTGGCGTGAA